TATATAAAAGTTTATTATAAAAAAATGTATTAATTATATTCTTAATTTATGTCATAAAAAAAACCTTATAAAAAAATTAAATAAATCAATCTACTTAGTTTAATTGTTGTCTTCCTAATAAATAGTATCAAAGTTATGAAATTGGTGACCAAGAATGAGTTCGGTCAAGATTACGAGTAAGGAAAACTTGATGATCAAGAATGAATTCGGTCAAGATTACGAGTGAAGAAATATCTTCAAAAGAAAAACTCTACAATAGACTCATGATAAAAGTTAAAATTTAATATCTTTCATTGATTAAAGAAAGTGATGTTTTTAATGGGAAAAATTCTGTTGTATCTCAGAGATACCGCTGATGTGATATTTTTGATCAATTATAACGTATCATATCATTATATTTTTACCATTAAATGAGCTAACATAATTAATGAAATAAAATTTTTTTTATAATATAACATGCTGTGATTGGTCGAGAATAGCACATCAACGATATCTCCTGATACAGCAGACTTTCTCCTCTAGTGGACAGGACGGCTCGTAGTGGTTACACTCCAACATAATTTAATAAGGAATTATCCTGGACTAAAGTGCACCCATGAATTCGTTTTCTGAGCCTGAGGGCTGAGGCTTCCACCGCCCACGTCAACGTCAAATTGACACATTTATTTATTTATTTCGAACTCAAAATAATATCGCCTGGGCAAAAAGCATATTTTGCATTCCCTTATTTTATTAAATTTAAAGATTTTAATTTTTTATTTTATATTATGATATTTTTAATTTTTATTTTATTAAATTTATAGGTTTTAATTCTCATATTATACTATAACATTTTTAACTTTTTATTTGTTAAAATTGAAAAAAATTAGTTCTCATTTTGTAATATTTTATTAATTTTGTTAGTAAACTGTTAATTCTATTAATTGACTGTTAACTGACTATTAGTTTGCAAAAGTCTTCTTTCAGTTAACAAAGTTAATAGAACTAATTTTATAATATTTTATTAATTCTATTAACTGATTATTAGTTAACTATTAGTTAATAAAAACTTGCTTTCAGTTAATAAAGTTAACACTCAATATAAAATAAGAATTATTTTCTTTGATTTTAATAGTTAAGAGACTAAAATTTATAAATCTAATAAACTGAAGAGCTAAAAATGTTATTGTATAAAGTAA